ATAAAGGGAGGAGAGAAAATACAGAGGGAGGATGGGGGGGGGGCAAGAGAAAACACTAAGTGAAAAGATGAATTAACAAAAACACAAAAGAAATTTCAGAAATGCACAACAGACTATCAAAGAATATGCTATTCTTGCATATATTTAAAAAGAACAGTCACATACACCACCAGAAGACACTGGGAAAACTGAGTAATGTGTAAACTAAAAAGATCCTGTGTATACTGATGTGGACAAAAACATCTGCCAAATGAACAAGTTGTGTAATTGGAACTTTCTCATTTCCAGTGGCATGAACAGCTCCATCTAAGAAAATGTAAATGTTTAGGAAACGGCTGTACAAAACGGTATGAATCTGTTTCTCGTCTCATAGCCGGGAATGTTCACTTCTGAATAACAAACATTATGGCAAAGGCAGGTACGCCCGTTAAACTACACGTTTACTGTACCTGCAACTCACGATTTAATGGTGTCCCAAAGTTGAGAAAAATCCAAATCTAGACATTATAAAACAAATGAATTGAGTCAGTAATGAAACTGAGATCCTCTGATGACTGGCAACAGATTACAGATTAGTCACGATGTCCATTTACACTCCACTAGAAGCACTGTGACACTCTGTGCAGCTTTATGCAGCTTTATGCCCATGAGTCTCAACATCTAATTTTAAATGACTGCAGCTCATTTGAGCCAGTAGTTTGATAAGAACTAGTTTCCATTTTGGTGAAACGTAATTATCAGAATGCAGAAAGAAAAAAAGGCCATGCGTGCTGTGGCAAAACTACTAAAAACAACATAAATAGTGATTTTTTTAAATAATAAAAGAAACAGAAGAAAAATAAAGGACATTTGAGAAATAAGCTTCTGCAGAGGTGGAATGAAGCTATTTCACGTGCTTGACCAAAAACGCCCTGTTTGTTCTTTAGCATGTGTCCCTACACCGCCCCCTTCTGGATGATATTTAAAAAACACAACAAAGCATGAGTCATATTCTATCGTTGTATTCTGACTAAATGTCCACCTTTATCAACTGACCAAAATATTTATTAATCCAATTATTGAAATAGACTATATTAAAAAAAGTTATTACTTCAGAAAAGTCTGTATATATCATTTTATTCATATATCCTAAAACAATACAAACATCAATCCCCAGTCAAGTTTGTGTATTTTTGTTTTTTCTTTCCAACTTGTTTAGCTGATCTCTAGCACTACACCAGTACTGTGTTAATATGACAATTGTTAAACTATATATACTTACAAATACATTAACAACTGAGAACAACTTCTTAATAGAAATTGATTTAACATTGCGTTTGCTTTGGTCATATGACCCGCAAGAGCCAATCAGCTGCGACCTTCTGGTGCCTTTGTTGAGCTCGTGCCAGCCTCTCCTCCTACCGCTCGTGCCTGGCGGCTCGCACAGAGCAGCCCACTGATTCCGCCATCTCTGTTGGTTCCGTGGGCTGACAACCCTGCTCCGCTAAAACGGCTAAATATAAATGCGAACTTCGGTACTGATACGTGGATTTATCGCAGATGTAATACGCGCGTTTACAAAGCTGCGTGTTGTATTTTTGCGCCGCTTCGCTGCGCGATTGGGTGGACGAAATGCCTACTAGCTCCGGCGCAACGCTTATTTTTGGCATTGCACACGTAATGCTTTTCTACGCAAACACGACTGCGGTCGGTCATCAAGAATTAATCGTAATGTGTGGTGTAAAATGCTGAATATCTAGAAAACAATTACCAGGAAAATGGCGTTGCTCTCCCCCCTCTCTCTCTCTCCTCCTTCCTTCGTGGTTCTCCCGAAAGTTCGGAGTGACGAGAACAACGGAACTGCGCAGGCGCGGCAGAGCGAGAGATGGGTTTTTTTTCTCCCTTGAACGCGCAACATTTTGAGTCCACTGCGCGCCCCCAGCTGCCCAGATACGGCCTGCACCAATCAGTCCCATTTTATGTAAATCAAACACAAAACTAACGCATTCTGCACAATTAGCTCAAATATTTGGTATTTCATGAGCAAAACTGATGACCAGTCTTCTCCACTGTGCTGAAGATTCCCTTAGACAGCCCCTCCCCTCTGCATTGATATAATTAATTAGTCCAAAGCCATGCGTATGTGTCTTTTTTTATTCATGACGTTAATATTTTAGCATTTTATTACAACAAACAATACACATGCGCCCTGGTTGTGCCAATTTGTCCTTGTAGTTGTCTTTAATTAGCTGTGTGAGAAGCATGGAGGCCTGTTTCAGTCAGCAAAGGTCATTAGCTTTGTAGCCTACTAACATATTACACCACTAAACACAAAGCATATGATTTGAATTCCAGCATCACTTCACACCGCTACCAAGGACAAAACCGGCTATTTGTGAATAAAGATGAAAAGAGAAACAACACATCTACAGCAGGTAATGACAATTACAGTCACACAAACGTAATTTAATTGGCTCTTATGATAAACAAACACAATATCGTGATGCATAGTGTCAGCAAAACCCTTGATGGGATCAGATTTTCCTTCTCATGATGTAATAAGATCAATTCACCACCATGTTATTCCAGCACAGAGAAGAAAGAGGATGGAGAGGACAGGAGGAGTAGGTGCCAAGTTTGTCCGCTTGGTGTCGCCAGAACTCTTCTTCTGGAGGCAAATGCGTGATTCCTTCTTCTGGGCAATACCTGTCTGTGCCTGCAGAGGACGCCATCATGCACGTGTTTCAACCACTGAGAGATATTTCACACTAGAGGAAAGGAGAAAGGGGGTGTGTTCTACCCTGATGTTTACTTTGGGAATTCAACTGTTTGCTGATAGCTGTGTACAGAAATTTGGACATATATTCTGTAGTTTTTCCTCTCTCTGCCTAAAGGCCACTTATTGACTTGAGATGCACATCCCGACTCACAAAGCCACTCTTCGCTCTGTTCATCTTCTCAATTTATTTCTTGATTTATGATTTTGGTACTGTCTGATTCTGCTCTCTGCTGCTGCTGCTGGTGGTGATGGTGATGCTGCGGTGACCCAGTTTCCGCACAGGGATCTAACTCTCGAGGGGGAATACGGATTTTGACATTTAAAGTTGCAAAGGCCCTGGTGTGAAATGCCCCCAAAAGAGCTATAATGAGGAGACATGATACATTTCAGAAGGATATGTCATATAAGTATCACAGCAAAATTACAAGCCCCTAACAGAATATTATGGGCACAAACAGAAATACAACAGAAGATAAAGGATCATGAAACACCTCATAGGTCACTAGGTTACTGATAGGAACATGAGAGAAATTATATTGCAGGACATTTCCATGATAAAACATTTCCTAAAATGTGACTGATAAGATTAACAGCAGCAACACATTGGCACAGCATGCAAAAACATAGTAATTGCAAGTAGGATGAATCCGAGCGAAATGTAAGCGCGCTTCTCCTATCGTTTCATGAGGTTGTTAGCTTTCTTGTTGGCAGTGTTGATGCGGGCCTTATTTATATTAACCTGCAGAGAGAAACAGAAAAAAAAATCAAACAGGAAATGTTAATTAGAGCCTGGAGGACAGAACCACTGGAGCTCTCGTCCAATTCAGGTCCATTATTGCAGTCAAGTAGTCTTAATAAAGCCACCGATGTGATAATTACATTCCAGAACGAACACAAAATAAAGCAACTGTAAGATATTGCCACAGAAATGAACTCTAAATTAAAAATTCATCATTTAATAGAAGCTATTAATTAAAACAAAACTACTCGTTAACTGTCTCCTGTTCGTGGTGAAAGCATTGTATGCATCTCCCCCCACACGCCTTTGCACTAAATCAGAGCTGTGCTGCTTTCATCTCTGTCTTCAGTATTTCTTTGTCAGCACATCATAAGAGACACAACCCTTGCAGTACTGTGAAATGTGTCTGAAAGCCCGAAAGTAAACAGCTTCTGCTTTTGTCCAGTAAACAAAGTCAGGTTGTTGAGATCCTTCATCATCTTTTACAGGCACCAGGAGCCTCAGCCAGCTCCAATCAATCTCCTTCTCTATCTTAATCCTGGACTAAACTAAAGCTCCTCCAGCTTCACTCTGAACACGCTCATGTTAGAAGTGACACAGCTGCATTTAGGCTCCTCGTATCTGAAAATGAAGTAAATATAGTGGTCCAAAACTAACTGAAAGGAGAACCTGTTTCAAAGGGTCTGAAAGGCTGCAGGTGTGAAAAATTCCTGTTCAGCATTTTGTAGTTGTAAGAGTTAAAGGTATTTAATATTTTGTGTTTTTTTAAACAGGCAGGCGGTCCATTTTAAACCCCCACTCACCCTGTACATGAGATTGTGCTGCCACTGTTGGTTCAACTTGTCCTCGTGGACCAAATGTACTGCAGCCAATTTCATTGTAATTGTAAATATATTTTTGGTTTGCATGTTTATGCTGAGTTCCGGGTTCAATTGTTCTCGCCCATTGTCATCTAGGGTTGGCTCCAGCCCCCTCGCGACCCTATTCAGGATAAGTGGCATAGATAATAGATGGACGGATGTTTATGCTGAGTCTCTGGCAGTATCACCTCTAGTAAGAAGGTTTCCTCATAGTGTTCGGATTTCCCCCCCACACTAAGGTTAGCTGGAAACAAATTTGAGCAAATTTGTGAATCTGAGCGCGAATGTTGGTCTGTCTACTCTATACATTAGTCCTATTTGTTGATATTTGCTGGTGTTTTGTGACATGCTGTCATTTATGGAGATACCATGTGAAGCGTGGTATAGGACACACACACACACACACACACACACACACACACACACACACACACAGAGGTAAGTTGCAGTGTGACAGCAGTACCTTGCTCTGTATATTCTCAATCTGGTCATTCTGCCTGTCGATGGCTTGGCCCATGTCCACAGCCATACTCTTCACATTTCCAATGATGCTGCTGATGTGATTCATGTTGTCCTCCATCTCGGCCTCACGGCCATCATGAGTCACCCTGAGGCATAGCAGGATGAAGCAGGGAAATCTTCATAAATCACAGCCAATGTGTCCTTTAAGGATGTGCACCATCAGCCACAAGCGTGTGTTTGTGATAATGTCCCATGTCTGCCCAACTGCATGTAGTACTGGTAGATGGCCGGTAGTATTACATGTTAGCCTGTTCTGCAGAAGAGCAAACATACACCTGCCATGCAGCTGCGTCTCTCAACACAACTCCCTGCCTGCCTACATTAACATACTCTCCTATGTATCACTCGCTCCATCTACCTTGTTATGTATTCTCCGCTCATCACCATTTGCTCCCTCTCATCAGCGACTCGAGACGACGGCGGCTGACTGGACACAACACCATCCTGACTGGAGGCTCCACCCAAAACTGCCTTGTACACCATGTTCTTCTCAATGGCCTTGAGTCTGACAGATGAAGAGAACAACCTTATGAAAGTCTTTCTATGGTGATTCCAGCCTGTTTAATGTGATGCACAAGAACCACACTGTACCCATACTGGTCCTACAACAGCAACTGTTTTTTTTAATTGGAGTACAGGCTTTGCAGCTGCTTTTCAGATTTGCGCCCAGTAAAAGCGTACGTTAGGTGCACACGGGGTACTGTTACCACATGGGTACAGCAGTGGTCCATCTATACAGTGGAGATGACAAACATGGTGTAAGGTCACATCTAAGCAGCAGCAAAGCAAGCAGCCAAGCAGGGAACAGACTGAAAACTAGTGTTTGTAGCTAAATCTGCAATTGTCCTACAATAAACTACACAAAATAAAACCAAACAGACAGAAAATATAACTTTTAAATCAATTTAAACAGAAAATGTACACCTTACCTCAGTGTGTGTGGCCTACCAGCTGGATGAACAAACACAAACACACAAACACACACATCTGCACGTACTTCTCACAGGAGCAGAGGCCACAGCACTTGCCCAGGTCCGTCAGGTTTTTCACAGCCTCCTTCATATCAGAGCCAATCTGATCCAAGCCCTCATCTATACGATCCAACTGCGCTGTGAGAGGAGGAGGTGAAGTGGGTGGAGGAAGAGGAAGGATAAAACAAAGGCAGAAATGGAGAAGAAGGGGAAGAGGAGAGGAATGACAGAGGGGATAAAGTGGGACAGAAGAGGAATGGGTGGAAGAGGAAGGTGAAAGTGTAAAGGGAGGGAGCAGATGAATGGAGAAAACAAGGTAGGTTGGGGGGGGACGAACCATCAGAAAGAGGTAAGCAGAAGAGAAGAAGGGAGCAATGCAGGGAGTGGATGGAGGAGATTGGAGGAGGAAGGGCAAACAAAAACCAAAGCAGAAAATAAAATCAACTATTTCCCCAAATCTCCACAACTGAGCTAAAACACCAGCCACCAGCACCCGACACTGAAAACCAACAACATCCACTTGCAAATCATAAATAGCATCACTCTGCACTAACTATTGCTTTGAAGAACTGGAGGAAACAAGGCCATACTGGGCCGAGCTGGACCAAACTGGTGTCCAGGTCCATTTTGTTTTCTGCTTCAATTGTTGCTAGAATTGGAAAGAGGGGTATAATGTTTATGGAAGACTGGCTGGAGGGCGACATTTAAGTAGCTGCAGTGTTTGAGTGTGCTTGTGCATGTATTTGTATGTAGATACTGTGTGTCAAGCCACATTATCTGCTCTTTACCTGGGTGAGGATGGGGTGCAGCGATGCTTTGTGTTAAGAGGAAGTTAGGTCTGGAAAATGGTGTTGCCTATGAGAAGCCCAACCCTCTGCCATGTTTATATGTTAGCATGGGTGAATGCACGAAGGAGTAAATTCACTAAATAAACACCTCATTTAATGGAACTGGGCACCAGTGTGGGTTTCTTAAACCACCAGTTTTGTGAAGGTGTGGATCCCACAAACCAGACCTACTTCCTCATTGGCCAGATACACAGACCACAGCACTGAGCCATGTCTGTCAGATTCTTCTCTGCCTCTCTCATGTCCCTGTTGATGGTGTCCAAGCCTTCCTCAATATGCTCCAACTGCTCTGTTAAGAACAGCAGTGTTATGGTGTGTGACGGTGTGCAACAGATAGCTTCAGCTGCCTGATCTGATTGGTCAGCGGCATTAGACCAACATGTACCGAGCCTGCTGACATCGGAGCGGTCCTTGGGTCGACCACAAACATGATTTCATCCAGTACACGTGAACACAAGCAAGCACAATTTTTTATTCAGTCTGATATTGTGTGCAAAAACAGCCCATGTTAATCCTTGTGAATAAACTGCTGACACATACCAAATGTGTAAAAAGAACAGCCTTGAAGTCATTTTTTAAAATTTAAGATGTGAGGTAGCAGTTTGCCCTGCTTCTGGTCTTTCTGCTAAACTAGGTTAAACACCGCAAAACTAATGTAACTATACTGGAAACAAATATTTGGGTATTATTTCATCATACATTTTGTCCTTGTACTACTGCATTTTAAAGTGTAATCCACAGGGCTGGACTAAAAAGGAGACTTTAAAGAGTGATGATGTAGAACTGATTACCTTCTTGTTCATCCAAAATCACCAAAGTTTTGAGCCCAGCATCTTTAATCTGGAGGAGGGAGCAAATAAAACCACACTAAATTCAGTGCACACACTACTTAGGACAAACTGTTGTGATGCATAATTTTGGCTTCAGTTCAGTTTTATGAAACTTGACTTGCAGAAGCTTGCAGCAGATAGATCATATATGATTGCCATGTGGTGATGCAGCTGTGATGAGAGACTGTTATTAAAAAAAAACAAAAAAAAACTTCTGTATCTCAGACACCCAAGCATTCTCAAACACAACACCAACATGAAATGTCAAAGGAGCTCCAGCTCACGTCTCTTACCACATGACCGTACCTGTACATTTAGTGCAAATTGAGTTTTATAGCACCAAGCTGAAATCAACATGATATGCTTTGATAAATAGTTGGCAGTAATGTAGAAATGGGCAATTTTTAATTTTGGCTTACCTGGTCAAGTTAGTGTACATTTCTCTCAGACCCAGTATGTAGCCTGGTGCTGTCCTGCTGTGTCACAGCTCTGTTATGTCATCTGTGCTCTCACATTAGTTTCAACTTGTCAAAGCCCCAAATAGCTTTTGTAAAGTTAGCATCTGTCTTTTTTAAAGTCATTTGGTGTAATATCTTGGGGCATTTCCTGTTGTGGAAGCAACAGCGGAAAAACAGAGGGCTAATGTACAGAGATGTTGGCTCTCGCTCGTATTTCTTTATGATTGTAATTGCTGTAGGGTAGGGCTCACTATTTCTCTGGCTATATTAAACATACCGTATATACAGTATGTGTGAGTGTGTGTGTGTGTGTGTGTGTGTGTGTGTGTGTGTACCTCCTCACTCAGCTGCATCATCCGCCGTGTGCTCTCCAGGGACTGAAAGACAAAAAACAGCACTTCAACATTCAAGTTATAATAATAAATAAACTATTTAACACATTGCATGAATAAATGGATTTTTTTTTTCATTACTAGTTTGAATTACCTGTATTACCTCAATTACTAGTTTCAGTCAGTGCAAATTTTGAGGCTCTGTCACAGTGAAACTGAAATACATTTTCCAAGATTCTGCAGGTTTTGGAATAAGGCCTTAGGTTTTGTTCTATGGCATTAAATATGTCAGTAAATATTTCTAATGCTTGTCTTAATGAGTGGCTAAATGAAACCACAGAAGCTGTCTGGGATATTACACATCATCTGGCTGAACATGGAGACTCTCTATTCACTAGCCCGTCTTTACATCTAAACCCGCTCACTTGCAAACTATTCACTAGCTACATCAGGTCACGCTGAGAGGAAAGGATTTTGTAGAAGAAGTGAGCGCTATAAATCAGATTATAAATTAGAAGCCATGGTGGTGACACTGACTTTTCCTCCAAAAGTTATCTCAAATGTTGAGTCAAAAGAGAACTAAACTTCCAAACTGCCAGGTCTTCACGGTTTTCACATATAGTTTATATCATCGGTGTTTGTAAAGACACAGGTAAAATCACATATGACCACCTGAGTGATGCACAAAGTGCATACCTATCAAACTTTTCTTTATGTCAGAGTAAAGGCGTGTATTTTTTATACAGGTATAGAGACAAATATAAGCAAGCTGGATCTTTACTGTTGTTTTGCTATGAGCATTTAGAAAGTCAACACAGAGAAGACATGGTGACCAGAGTTTGCACTGTGATGTCAGTCACACACAGAAATTCTCTGCCGGTGTTTCCATTCCTTGCTGCGGTTTGTGTGTGTGTTTGACTGTGTGTGTTGTGTAAATATCATCGTGTTGATCCCTGTGACGAGTTGCTGTGACCTGCAGTAGCCCTTAAACCCCAGGGAGTGTGTTTGTGTGTTTGTGTGTAGGCCCGGACTGAGTATAATGAGCTCATCTGTCCCTGATGGCTGCACTGGGAGACCACTTGTCTCTATGGCAACCAGGTGAGCCAGGTGTCCTTAAAGGGACACTCTCCTCGGACAGTGTCACAGACAGATTTTTCTTTTTTGTATTAAATAAACTTTTTTTATGATCTATTCTTTAGGCCACTGCAGCTGGAGCCAGAGTAAACATTGACCTTCCTTTCAAATGAGTATAAAACCTGAGACAGGCCAAAGTGGTTAAAAGTAAAGACAAGATGACAGGATCAATGTAAAATCATTCATTGTTGGCAATATAGTAATAATATTTTTGCTAAGCGGTTCCTCTAATGATAAACTGAGGAACCTGTAGGAATATGTGGAGCAATAATAAGTAAATACACAGTGGGCTTTTAATAGTTAATAAAGCAACAGTTTAGTTATGACAGTTGTCTTAGTGGGAAGCTTCTTACCTCATCTGTGACCTGATTGATTCTTCTCAGCGTCTCCTCCTGCTCCGTCAGGGTGGGTGGGTCTGACGCCATGTTGTTTGCGTGCTGAGTCGCAGGTGACCACATTAGGCTGCAGCATCGGGGGGGGAGCAACAGTGTTAACAGGATTATTTATAATGACAGACAGGTGCAGTTCTCATCTACATAAAAAAACAGTTCACTTGACTTCATGTCACCAGGATCATCCCCTCAGGATCAACAATGCTTTCTAGGAAGTTCTGGCTACGTACATTACAGACAAACAATAAAATAATGCTACAACCGGTGTCGAGGTTTCAGTTTCCATTCAACTCCCCACAGACTCATTTAATCCACTGTAGATCTGTCCCCACAATGCTGTGCACTCCTTGCTACAGGATTTCTGTTTACAGTAAACAAGTGTCAGCTCAATTCACCAATTCACAGGGTTTTCAGATTCAGAACTGTGTGGTCTATGCACGGTCAGATGGAGTGTGTACAGTTACTTCTCCTCTCATTGGCTTGTGATTAACAAAACAGTGAAATGTATGGCAAGTTCATTAATAGTTATCTTGTGTTTGAGCACAGTTTCATCATAATACAAAGACAGAAAGCTTGTTTTGTTGGGAGTAAATACAGTAGGACTTTAAACAATCTTGAAATGCAAGATCAGAAAACCCATGCCAGTGGTCCTAGGAGCTGGTTCTCGTCAAACCAACCACTGAACGCCAGGCATGCCAGTTGGGTAGTTCACTGGTAGCCAGTAAAATATTATAACTGTCTTGTACAGTCTTATTTTAACATCTCAGTTTCTACTCTGTTTGAATAGCAAAGCTAAAGATGTTACCGCTTGTGGCAGAAAAAGTAAACGCCAGCTAATCTGGTTTCTCTTCCTGCTAATTCTGTCTATTTTCAGAGAACTCTTGAAACTGCATTTGTAAACAGCAAAATAGTTCCACTTGTTAGCAGACAGATCTCACTTCAGCTACAATAATAAGCTCCCATTTTGGAGTCTGACGGAAATGATCCAACTGCAGTGAAATCTGTCTTCTCATATCAACAGCTGACGTGGATTTGGGAAAGACACTGCGTTTAAATGACGGCCCATTCATTAAGTCTGTTGACAAGTAATAATTCTTTATGGACATGTGGGTCTTTTTAATTTAAAGGACACATTTATGACTGTAACGCTGGACTGATTAGTTCCAGGCTTGTTCTGCCAGCTTTTTGTTTACACTCTAGTTGATAAAGACTTATTAACATCAGTGTGATGGAGGCACAATGGGCTGCTGGAAAAACTATAAAACCACTGCTCTTTATAAGATGAATCTCTCCTCTCTAATTAGATGATAACGGCCTGTAATGGCACCGTCCAACCAGGTGTTGGGTCCTCACAGTATCATAAAAACCCTCCCCATCCCTATTGTTTCTGGCATTGTGTTACCAAGCTGAAGGATCGTAATTAGGCCTAATCACCACCTGCTGGAATAAAGACGAGGAAGGAGGAGGGAGAATGGAGGGTGGAAAAGAAGAAAGAATCTTAATGTTCTTTAGAGAAAAACAGGATCCCGCAAACTAGAGGAAGTACTAAACCATTTGTAGATCATATCACAAGATGAACAGTGCACACCATAGTTTATGTCCAGTACAAGCAGCGGGCACTAGGGTGTATTTCTCTGGCCAGTGCAGTGCAGGGCAGTACTGGAAGATCTCACCATTAAAGTGCCTTAACTAAGGTTTCCCAGTTTGTGTAACGTCAGTGTTTTGTGTCACACTAGCGGTAACCAGAGCGTTCTACTGTTAGCCAGCTAACGCTAGCTTCAGGCTGGTGGTTGCATTTTGTACAGTTTGTCCCAACCAGGCATCTGTAGTATACATTTTAGGATAAGATGGGAGGGGCAAAAAGCGATTAGGAGCGGCTGATGGTGTCATTTTGTTTCGAGTCTCACTAGACCTTCTGGGCTGGAAAGACATTAGGTAGATTAGGCTGCAGCAACAATGTTCACCTTCTTAAAGGTTTTCTGGTTCTTTTTGTTAGCCCGTTTTTTTGGAATCTCTGTCTTGTGGTTATGACAGGAACCTTCTGCACATCAACAGCAGCAGAATAATTGCTTCTTATCAGCAAGCTGTTGTTTTTCTGAGAGTAAAGATGTCAAACTCCAGGCAGCTCAGTGGGATTCAACTTTAGTCAGTGACCCTTCAATATCCAGCCTATAAGAAAAGTGCTGTCTTTGCAGTAAGCGACCTGTGATTGAGTCCATCTCCCTGTAGTTGTCTAAACTGTACCACACAGCATTAAGGTCATGACATGTCACAGTGACAGCAGCCAGACAGGGCTACTGGGTTTGTGAATAAGCAGATAGTGAACAATGAAGCCTCCTACCACATGGTGCACAGTGTGAGGTAAACTTACACTTTTGCCTCTGCACTGCTCTGTGCCCCACCCTACACATCGGACTGGATAAAGTCCAGGTCCAAGCTTCGAAATGTCCCTGGAGGCTGGAGTGATGGCATCACACATGCTATGTGTTTGTTGTTATTTATTTTTATTCATGTTGTCTTTCTCCAGCCCTTGGGCGTTGACTTTCAGAAGCAGTGTGCTGCCTCTACTGTGTATTTTAATATCCTTAATATCATTTTCTTATTAAAATGCAGAGGGATTCTCTGGTAAAGTTGGTACTATTTTATCTCAGTTTTCAAATTGTATGTATTAGACCACATTTAATAACTAATTTATGGTTAGTGACAGTTAAACTCGTATTCACTTTGCCTTTAATTACATATACTAATGGTTTACACTGCTTGCATTGACTTTAGCTACTAATTTATTGTTAGTTTAGTTCAAACCCTTTCTCTTCGTTTTGAATAATTATTTTACATTTCCACGTAACTGAGCACGTAGCTACAAGAACTTTTTATCAAATCAACGTGCACTGAAGTGAACTGAAACGATACAGATGGAGAGCTACTTTAAATATTTCTTCATTCGTTTAATACGTTTAAATGAATAAAATCCGCTCGGATGTTAGTAAAAGATAAAACTTTAGCCGCTTACCTTTCATCAGCACTTCTTCAGATTCTCCGCATTAAACCATCAACATTGTGCAGAACAAACCTGTTGTTCCCTCCTCAGCATCTTTGTCCGCTGCACCGCCCCTCTCGTCCACACCGGCCCGCCCCTCACCAAACTCACAGGCGTTCATACACCAAAGCTGACGTCAGGTAATTAAAGTAATGACATTACAGATGATTATGGGAATGTTATGGGAATTTAATCATGTCAGATAAAAAAAAATCCATATTTATGAATAATTTGAGCATAAATCAATCAGAAATGTCATAATCATGATATCTCCTCACAACCAGCCCAAAGTCTGGACAATATAATGTGAGATATAATAAAAACTAACCTCTAACCTCACGTTAAATTTTTATTCATTTATAGGCTACTCAAATTACTTCTGCTCTTCATCACTGTATGAACAAAAAAATTGTTTTTTGATAAATTCATGATGTAAACAAGTGGCTATATCAAATGAATGATTATGTCTAGTTTGACCAAATAAATTTAAGAGATAAAGTGATCTGAGAATCTCCAAATCTAAGAAAACTATGTCTTGTGACTCTTTGGTTTGGGATTCACAGTAAACATAAAAGCTTTACACTGGTCAGGGATAACATGAGCTCTCAGGTCTCACCTGTGAACGTGACCTTAATCAGACACTCCCTGCATGTTCTGTATAAACCAGTAGAAAACCTTAAATGACTGACTGATACTGTTACATAGTTTAAAAATGCAGAAAAAATGTTTTGGTTTGAGGTTGAAAATAATAAATTGATGGCAAACTGGTGACCTGTCCAGGGTGTAGCCCGAAATATTTTTCATAACTGTGCTGACATAAAAAGATTATAGTTTTAGGCCGCTTTATTTATTAATTGATTTTATTTTAGGACATGAATTGGAGTCAATGTCTATGACAATATGTCAGAAAAACTTGCTACATCTGGTATTAATCCACTACACTACCTAGCTGATGGACACAGTCATATTGATGTCGGCTTAAAAGGACGAAAACTCAGTGACATGGTCTGATTTTTCTTTCCCCTCTATGGCAGAAGTGATCCAGATTATAACCTCTTTATCAAAGTATTTCCATTTTTTATTCCATATACTTTTCCTGGATAAAACATCAGAAGTTCTTCTGTTTTGTTTGGACTAAACAGTAAAAGAATCAGGCAGTTAGTGAGCGTGGACAGCCACTGTTGCTGAACTGCTCTGAAAAACTAACCCACCTGAAGAAACACAATTTGCAGCAGCAGAAGAAGTCACACTCACAAAATGTCAGTTGTCACTTTATTCTTCAACTCCACAACAGTTTTTGCCCAATAAAAACAAAAAAAATCAAGAACTTTTAAAATTGGCCTTAAAGAATAAATATAGAAATTTGTGAGATGGGGACACTGTAGCAGCAGCAGGACAGTGTGGCAGCAGCATCAGCTCTACTTTATTCTGAGGTTGTGTTTTTCCCTTGACTTTAGCTCTGCATCGGCGTTTTGGTCCCATTACGTGGGCACAGAGGGGCGTCAAACAAGGCTGCACATCCGTAAGCGCACACAAGTGAAATGGATGCAATGACAGAAAAGAAGAGAAGTAGTTCATGATGTGCAGCAGCTTCCCTCCTCTGCTTCACGAATACATCGTCAGCTGAAGCCACTGTGAGACACAAAGAGAGAGAGATCACTAGATGTGTTGTCAGTGGGCAAGTACATCATCTTCAAAACCCTACTTTTGACCCCACTTTCATTGATTCAGGTTTATTTAGTCTCACTAAACATTTTTATGTTTGGCCACCACTATCCAGATTAGAGAAGATCTGACCTGATAAAAATCATCACACTCATCATTGTGCCTGCTTAGTGGTACATTTTTGCCCTGGGTGTTGCCTCTCAGGCTGCCCTTGGTGAGGCTGTAGGCTGCCTGAAAAGAACACTTGCAGACTCAGAACTTAAATTGATTCCACTTACAGTTCTCGGGTTGAAAAAAAAAAAAACTTATTTGCTGTCATTAATAAAATTAAATCTGTCAAAACTAAGATAGCTCTATGTAATCAAGTTTGTAGTAAATTTGAATCTTTCAAAGTATCAGACATCCACTACAGAGATTGGCATTGCATTTCTTGTTTGTTATAGTCAATGTCGGACTCCGTAGTTTTCTCTGGACCCCTACCCAATGTGACCAGTGATGACATGTTTAGCCACATGTCGTCATTCATCCGCTGGCTGTCTAGGTGGTGCCCAGAAAATAACGTGGGCTTCATAGATAACTGGAAAACCTGGTCTGATTAGTAGAGATGGCATCCATCCCACTTTGGGTGGTGCGGCTCTCTTATCTAGAAATCTGGACGAGTTTGTTTTACATCCTAAATTATGACAACCCAGAGTTGAGTCCAGGATGCAGGGTCACAGTCTTACACGCCTCTCTGCTGTCTCCTTGCAGCTGCTACCCACCCAACGCTCCCAGTACCCCATAGAGACTGTGTCTGCCCCCCGCCCACCTAAATTATATAAATC